GTGATGATGGTGATGATGCTGATGATGCTGATGATGATGCTGCGGGTGCGGATGATGGTGCCGCGGTTGCGGATGTTGATGATGATGGTGGTGATGATGATTGCGATGCTAGTGATTATGATGATGATGATGATGATGATGATGATGATGATGATGAGGAGGAGGAGGAGGAGGAGGAGGAGGAGGAGGAGGAGGAGGAGGAGGAGCAGGAGGAGCTGGAGGAGGAGGAGCAGGAGGAGGGGAGGAGGAGGAAGAGAGGGAGGAGAAGGCGAAGGAGGATGAGGAGGGGCATGAGCAATGCGCTTGGATTTCAAATGAGTTGCTCAAGCCTCACATCACACAACTGACAAAGAACTCTGCGCGAGCCAACTTCGAGGAATCAGGTTAACCTTAAAGAAATGGGTGACCCCCACTGGCAGTACCAGCACCGCCCCCGAACGGCGGCGATTCCTCAGACACCGCGCAGGCATGCACGAGGGGACGACCTAGGGGACCGACTCACGACTGGATCCGCGACCCTTACTACCCATTCCGTCTCCGTGGAGCCCGTGTGAGAGCAACCACGAGGATGTCGAGGAGGAGGAGGAGGAGGAGGGGGAGGAGGAAGAGGAGGAGGAGGAGGAGACGGAGGAGGAGCCCCACAGGCGGGCTGCTCGCCGCCTGGCCGCATATGCGATCAGCGGAACAGTGCGCCGTACTCACAGGAGGATGGGGGAGAGGCGTAAGGTGACGTGATGGGGGCGTTGGGGAACCTTGCCGTCGTGGGCTCCTCCATGCCCTTGCAGACTTCTCCGATCTACAGCCTTTCGTTGCCCGTCTGGTTCCCGTTCTGCACTCACTGCTCGTATAGTCGTGTCTTGATCCAGCGCGTGTGCATCCACTCGTCCCAGCCCTCCTCTGTTGGGTTCCCGTGTTGATTGTTAGCCAGCGTGGAGCCCAGCCAGTGTGTTTCTAGCAAAATATGTGGTGACCCCTGTGTAAAACAATCTTTGTGGTGCCACCAATGTGGAGCACCCGATGTGGTGACACCTCTCTGCGGTGCCATTGATGTTAACAAACGAGCTGACACATCACATGCCTTTGTAAACATCCCACATACCCACCCGCAAGTTGGTTTGCAAAGCCCATGCGGTGGTGATTGCGATGCATGCTGGGCGTTGGCTGGTGCATCTCCGCGGCCGCGCCATCCCAAACGCTGTCAGCTAGTTTGGCGCGACCGACGCGGCCGCGGTGGCGCTGACCGCTAGGCACATCCCAGCGGGCACTTCGCTGCGAGTCGGCGACTTGGGCGGGCGCGGTATCATGTCAAAGTCGACAACGGCAGACACGATAATGATCGTAGCTGTGCTGATGACGATGTTGACAATATCGACGACGGCGCGGCCTGTGCGGGCGCCGATGCTGATCACGCCGGCGACGATGTCGGCGTCCTCGCGTTGGTGATGAAGGTTTTGGGAAGAGTTCGACATGCGCGCGCGCGGTCGACGCGGGAGAGTGGCCCGCATGATGTGATTTGACACAGATCGTGCCCCTCCCCAGCACGCACGCAAGGGCGTGCGAATGATGTCGGCATGCGGTGCGGGAGGCCCGCTTGGCAGTAGTCCATGGACATGTCGACAACCCGGTAGTTTTCTCAAGCACTCGCAATCGCGCGAGCGCGTGCTTTTTGAAAACTGATGTCGCGAACCCGTGTGTTCTTGTATGTTATTTGGACACTCGATTTTGAAATCCGTACGTCGCCGAAGGTTTTTGGTTCATTTCGGCATGCGCGCGCGACGACGCGCGCACGTGCACTTCCTCTCCTTTTTGCAGCAGCAGGATTCTCGCGACGGCACGCGCGCAAGGGCATTTGAACGATTTCGACATGCGCGCGCGAAGCCCGTTTGGTAGCAGTTTCTGAATATGTTGACAGCCTATTTTTGTTTTTGAGAATTCGCAAGAACGCGCGCAGTTTATTTAAAAAAACCATGTTGCGAGACCTTGTTCTACATGTATATGTATATATGTATATGTGTATATATACATATGTATATGTATATGCATGTATATATATATGTATATATATATATATATATATATATATATATATATTTATATATATATATCGGACACTCGTATTGACATTCTTACGAAGCCGACAAATTCTGATCTGGCATGCGCGCGCGACGACGCGCGCGTGTGCACCTCGTCCCGATTTTCGTGTGAGAAAACAAAAAACGAAGTATTCGGACACTCATGGTTTTGATATACGAGTGTGCGCGCATTTTTTGTTGCAGAGGGTGGCGGGGGGGGGGCGATACTGGCCTGGCTGGGATGGTATGGGCTCATACTTACGATGGACGATGGGGCAGAATCATTTGTAAATTGCGAGGCGAACAAGGGAACCGAAAATCCCGGGGGGGGGGGGTGCACGGATAATCTAGGTTGTGCAACCAATGTTGTGCAAACAGTGTACTGCAACCTACGCGATGCAAGCTGGGTGGATCAGTTTATGTGATGCAGTATTTGTGTCTATGTGATGCAAGCTATGTGCAGCGATGTACGTGGTGCAATATATGTGGCGCAAATTCACTTTGACCGTCTTGAAGCTGTCCTCTCCATTGTTCGTGCAAACATCCCACCCTCCCACCCTCAACTTGTTCGCAAGACCTTTTACGACAAGACCGCAACGGTAGGTACCACATGGCACTTGGTCACGACGCCGACGCCGACGACGACAACGACAACGACGACGACGGCGCCGCCGACACCGAATACGACGACACCGACGACAACGAT